TAAGCACAACTGTTTGTTTTGTTGAATTTCGCGCACAGCTATTCGAGGGCTATTTCCTAGTCAACACCGTCCACCGCCAACTCTTGGACTACTCTAATCGAATAGTGGAATGTAACTATCACTCCTATAACACACTCACGGCCCCAAAGCTCGATTTTCTTCTTTTTTTTCGATAACGGGGCACGAACCACAGAACTTCGATCCACGCTAACCACTGGACCTCGCTCGACCTATACAGGCACAACTAATAATGTACATGTGTTAATATAACTCTATAAGTATAACTATTTTTAATGTGCATGCACCGACACTTTTGCCTAAAGGTATTTTACTTAATCCATCCGCACTTTCTGCCAATCGTATTTTTCCTCACAATTTTGAAGAAAATAGCCCGTGTACTTTTTACTCGCATTCTTACTGAATTGTATAAAATATTGTCAGTAACGTTTTTTGGCGCAACTAATGGAGTGAATATGGGAAGTATTTTTATTATGATATGAGGATTGATAGGGAAAGATAATAATCTAAATATTTGGTTTCATAGTTTTTATGGTGTAATATTTATATGAATAAATACCAACACTTTTACGTACCTGCAAGCCATAGTCTCATGATCCATAGTCTCATGATCCATAGTCTCGTTTTATAGACATCACGATTCATTAATTAAGTATCTTCGTTGTAGCAGATAACACTTCTCATAAAACATTCAAAGATTTCCTTAGTTAGTACTGTTATTTATGAAACTCTCAAAACCTTAAAATGGAATCAAAAAGTTTGTAAACTACTAAAACAAAAAATGGAAAAAGAAATTAATACTGCCCAGTGCATTGAAGATGATTAAATATTATCTTACAGAGCCAGTTGTGAAAATACCAGTTTTGCTTGTTTTAAATAGCAGTAAAACGACATTCTTTTGGAGATGTTTATATCTTTGTTTACGGATTTTTCTCTGATTTTCAGACTGCGTTCTAAGCACACTTTATAACAAATTACTGAATATCAATGAATCCCATTTAATCTCATTTTTCAAAAAATAATTTTGTATAATATAAAATACAAAGAAAACAAATATACCAGGTTTAATCTAAATAGACGTTACTGCTGACATTCGAGACAAACAGAAAACTTAATTCCCACGCATCATTTATAAAGTGGTGAACCAATTTATTTTTCAAGAAATTTGGTTTTTCGTTTTTTTTAACCCAGAAAAACATATATAGGCAAAAATAAAATGTAGACACGAACTGCCTAGGGGTTTCTTTTAAAATACATTTCCTTGAAATGAAATCGTCATTTTTTTCATGATCGTCTTTAACCGTAACGGACGGTTTAGCGATCTGCTTATTATGCTAGAATTGTATGACACTGTAGAGGCTACCACGAGTACAGCAATAACTTACAAGTAGACCATTCTGCAGGCATTGTTCTGCTACAAGGTATACCATTAAGTTGTGCATGTTACCATGAAGGATATATGATCATTTTTCTAGTATCCTTTACTTGTTCAGAAGCTCAAATGATTACAGTTTCTTGAGACTTGATACTTGGTGAAATAAGGCATGGATGTCTTGAAGGACTTTGTACATTTGAAAAGATAGACAGACAAACAAACACATAAATAGAAAAAACGTTTTAGTTATTAAAACCTGTTAGTAAGTCGTGATTTGAGGTACATTAAAGTCATATATTTTACTAATTTATTTTGTCACGTATTAGTTAAAGCTCAGCTACAATGTTTTGGTTATACCTTAAAGAATCAAAATACAACACAGCAAAACGGTGTGTGTAGAGTGTATATTACTCTAACATGAAACAAAATAACAACTGAATACGTCTAAACATTGTGTATGAGATTATAAATTGTCCTAGCATACAATAGAACATTTAAAATCACTTTAATTAGCATAAATGTTCAGCATAAAGACACGTTGGGTATTGTTGTTATATTGAACAACAGGTAGAAGTCAACTTAAGTATTGTTATCATATAGAAGAATACCTAGAACGTCAAATGAACGTATTGTTTTGTGGACTAGCATAGGTGACTTTAATACAATAAAACAGCTATACCAGCATAGATTGGCCTAAATACAGAAGAACAACCGAAACATTACGTTTATTAGTATTGATCGTTTTAACAACAGAAAAGCACATATATGTTAACGAAACATTTATGTGTAGTAGCACAGAGTGTTGAATGTAGAAAAACATACAACTAAATCTATGAACTATATACTTTTTTTTTTATAGAAGAACAAGTACAAAAACTCTTAGCAAAGCTTTCTATTTCACTGACAGAATATAACAAAATAACTGACTTAACATAATCACTACAAATTAACATGGAAACCTTTGTTCGTTCCATTCGAAATTAATCTGACATAGGAAAGCTTATACTACCAACATTGTATAAGTCACGGTAACCAACGTTGTTGTTACTGACATATACAAGCCAGAAGAGCTAACAGTAATGGATAAGGATTGATACAAGTCACAATAGCCAAAGGTTGTAGGTATTAAACGTATGCAAGTCAACATAACCTAAAGTTGTGGGTGCTAAAATGTACAACTTCTGTAATAGCCAAAAGTTTTTTATACTGACACAAACAAGTAAAGATAGCTTAATAGAGTTAGTTCTGGCATACATACACAAGTCAGGAAAGCCAAAGGTTGTTAGTACTGACATAAAGAAGTAAAGATAACTAAAAGCAGTTGGTACTGACATATACAAGTCAGAAGAGCCGAAGGTTGTTGGTACTGACACAAAGAAATAAAGATAACTAAAAGTCATTAGCACTGATATAAAAGTCATTACAACAAAACTTTCTCACTACTAACATAAATTACCGTTACATCAACATGTTAAAATTCCGTAACGTTACGCGAATTGATAAAAATATCTTTGAATTTAGTATAACACAACAATATTTTATTTGTGTTAAAATAGAGCGTTCTCACATTCTTAAAATTTACATGCCAATGTGATAAATATTTTTCAAGACGAGCATATGCTTTTCTCACACATCCAAAACCAAGATGATAAGATATTATGTATATTGGTCTATATGATGTTTTAATGTTACAGAATGCCTTCAGCTAGACAAATAAACGCTATTTGCACAACCACTTTCTATAGTAACAAACTAAAAGGTGAGCAAATCAACATAAATATCATTTATCTGCACCTATTTTTGCTGTTCTTAAAGTAAAACGTCAGGGAATCCAAGCAATAAGGTATCTTTTAGTGTGTAGAGTTTTAATTTGAATAACTAAATTACGAAAATTGATCAGATTTAGTGTATCACATTAATTTAATTGATTACTCTGTATTTTAAAGTGATTTATTTCATTTTATACTTCATTCGTTTCTTAAGTAATTTTTAAAAGTGTATATTTATATATATATCATTGAAATAAATCACTGACAAGAAATATCATAAGATGATTAAAAAAAACAAAAAAAAACGCATGACAAACTAACGAACTTGACATTCAACAACGCAGGTTAGCCAAGCACTATAATTTTATTATCTGACAAATTAACCAACGTAATGTAGCTTACATTATTTGATTTGAGTTCAAATACTGAAGATGTTGAGGTTTAGATATTCGTTGTGTATAACGATATTCTTATTGTCTTTGCTCAAATCTTTCAGATAACGTGGACTTTCCTACACGGGATAAGCAAATATAAACTTATTCAACATTTATTTCATTTTTCTTGAAAGAAAATAGTAAAAATTATCATCAGGAAATCACAAGTTATTAATTTTACATGCTTTCAGTGAAAGGGATAAGAAATGTAACAATGGTTGAAAATACACGTAAGCAGATATTTTGCCAACAATCAAGAAAATGAATATAATGAACAAGTTAGAAACTTTCCTTATGATACACCAGACAAAGTACAGTTAATGTTTTTCGAATATAAAAATAGGCGATGTTCAATCTGATTATCGGAACAAAGTTTGGTTTTTAGTGCTTTCTTTCTTGGGAGGTAGAACGGTGTTTTTTTCATGTTTCTGCATAACTTTAAACAAATTTTCACTTGTTTAAGTTAGAAAGTATAGAAATTCTAAAGGTCAAACTCTGACGGCAAATCAAAGTTGCCAAATAAAAACAAATTCTGCAAATCCTATCAAAATTATTTTGGGCGTTTTGAAATATAAAACATAGTTTATATTACGAAGAAATCAAATCATTAATTATTCATTGTGCAGGTTGATAAATAGTTTGCTTATATTGGGAAGCTTGTGTATCTGATATACAATAACTTTTAACTTGATGATGAGGAATATGTTTACGTGATAGAAAAGTCCTAAGCGCCCTCTATATCGGTGTGGAAAACGAAGGTCACAGATCATGTTCAAGGAACGCATCCTATCTCGATGTTAGTAATTAATGTCAACAATCAAGCTCAAGGTCATCAAGGAAATTGTACACAGGTAATGAATCTAAAACCTTGAAGGTTCTATATGTTTTTCTGTTTATAATCATCAAAAAATGTTTCATTAGATATTTGGCATGGTATTTAAAGACACATAAACAATAAACTAATTTCAGTGATTACTTATTTTGTTTTTTAGATACAGAAATATATATAGTTTTCTCGATATTTTATAGAAGCTATGGAAAATACTACCAGATGGGAAAATGTCATTTGTTTGTTATTGAGCGCAAAGCTACATAAAGGGGCTATCTGTACTGTGCCTAGAGCGGGTATCGAAACCAGATGTTTAGGAAATTGGCATAACAAGTAAAATTCTATGATGTGGGAGAAACTGTTTGGGGGTTTGAAAGCTTCATTATATATATTAAGTCTGGAAGTCCCGCAGGCATGATTGGAACAGTACGTAAATGTAGAAGTGTTTATAAATAAGTAAAACAAATAAACAGGCAGATTTTGGATCAGTGAGAAGTTTTATTTGAACAGTTAGAAGATAACTTTTTATATAATAATATACTTTATGTTTACAAAAATCATTCTTTTATAAAATATAGAATACTTAGAAAAATAATGCTTTACACATAGACAAGTACGTCTGAAGCGCTGATATTCTCGTGCACAGCAACTTTATTCTTTATTTGTAAAAGAGAATTTTGAAAATTAATAGTTCGTATATCTTTAGCAAATATAAGCTAATAACTGTTAAATGCTTTCTTACCTAAATAAAACATTCATATTTTTGTGCGATCTTTTGTTTATATATTTAAGAATCCATTAAAATCGATCTTAAAGTCTAAACTTGCTGAAAACCAAATACAAAAAATAAATAGCTGCTTTGTGATTATAGGATCGAAACGTTCTTAGTAAAGTGTAATATTTAAAGACACTTCCTCTTAGAATAGAGCAGTATATTTTACATATTTCTTTCTCACAGGAAATCCGTCTTTGCAGTTTTTTTTTCTCTGTACATCAACAAAGAGAAATTTCCGGTCTGGACCCACGTGAAAGCAGGTCATCCGTCAGGGAGACAAGAGAGGTTCTACGGTTGGAGCTAAGATTATTTCTTCAAAGTTTTTCCCACAATCCCATCAAGTGGTTCGCCTTGTTGTCCACTCTATAGATGTTTGGTCGGCCAAACAACGACTTGATAACACTGTCTGTTGGTTCCCAAACTTGATGGTATCGCCTTCTCTTGGGACGATTACAATTTGAGCCTACATGGAAACGACAAGGTGCTCTGTCCTTCTGCCGCCGGAACTTGTAGAGATGTTACATCTGAGTAGGTAATTGACCTTCATTGTAACCATCTCTTCAAGTGATGACCTGAGGAAGCAAATTAAGACAAAGTATTAAGATATGTTTTTCACAGTAATTATTCATACTTTACGCGGTTTCTGTTGTAAAAATATTAGTTTTCAAGTTTAGTTTTAGATATTTTTGTTCCCAGTTTTCGGTCTTCTATCTACTTAAAGTGTTTATATTTATTTTTTTACTTTTATAAGTGCTTTCTGAAATGTACCAATAGATAAGTGCTATACCTCTAACCTATCCAGCAGACTCGCAAAAAAAAAAAAAATTTTTCTTTAAACTCTCGGGTAGGGCAAAAACAAGAGCGTGGCTTTTTGTTGCTTTTCTTCTCTGCTCCATTCACCGGAAGGTTTTTATTTAGGTGTAGGGGAAGAGTTTCTGAAATGGATGAATGCACGACTGAGATTCTTTGAACAAAAGACCTGTTAGAATACCGTCTGGCAGACCATTGGTGCAGATCGCAGGCCTGACAAAGGCAAACAAGTGCGTCTGGGACACTTTTGTCACCAAGTCAGACAGGTAGGTAGAAAATACGTACTGAGAGCAAGAGAGAACCTTGGCTTGGATTATAACTACCATTTTCCTCTTTAAGTTTAAGTCTGTATCAAAACTATGGCATTTAACCTATAAGAAAGATAGAAGGGAGAGAAGAGTCCAGAATTATGGGTAAACTAAATGTGGCGAAACAAACCATTATATATATATATATATATGTTGAATTAATGAAATACTTTTGTGTCTATTAAAATTATTTCGCGTACAGGAATTTTTGAGTTTTCATTTTATTAACTAAGAGATTTTTAATACAATCCTTAACAAGATCTATATACAAACATTATGTAAGTTTCTAAGTAAAGTAATATGGTGGATTAAGAATACATTTCGATACAAGTTTGTATTCTTATAAAATGGAGATTAGATAAAGTGATATATATTTTAAACTTCTATGATACTTACAAGTTAAGAAAACCAGGACGTAAATTCCAACAGATCTTCCTCTTCAGGACTCAAACTGCTGTGTGGTGAACAAACATCATAGCCGAGGCTATGATTTGGAGAGGCTGCATCTGACCCGAGGCTTGGAGTTGGGGAGTTTGGTGCCAACGTTTCAGGATTTGAGGTTGAATAAAGTGGTGTGTTGGTAGCATCTAAGTTGTTGGTTGTTGGAACAGATATGGGATAGCAGTTCTCGTCCATTTGTCCACTATAGAGTAAAATGTTTCTTTCTTTTAATGTAGCAACTGAATTATCCTGTTCAGAAAGAAGTTGTTGAAGCTGCTTGATGTATTCCACTGCTGCTCTGAGCGTTTCCACTTTGCTCATCTTTTTGTTTTTAGCACCATTTGGCACGTGCTGTTTCAGTGTAGCGAAGCCCATGTTTACCATCCTCACACGATTCCTTTCTCTTTCGTTCCTTCTGGCCACTGCAACAGGTTGGGCTTGAGGTAGTGAGTAGCTTAACTGAGAGAGGTTAATACGCTTTTTGCAACGCAGAAGTCCTTGCGCACTGTTATCACCTGCTGCTGGCTTGATCACATTCCTCGAAATGGCGATTTTGCCACCAGACTGTAGAGACGTAGAGGCAGAAGAAAAAGTTACTCCTGAGGAGACTGTATTTGTAGCTAGCAGGACACACGTGGTTGTCTCCATGTTTATTTGTTTGTTTTATCTCAAGAGAAATACGTTCTCAACTTTTGATTAAATATCTTCAACAAACCAACCTTGGTCCCAAGTATTACAGACTAAATAAACATATAATATATGGTTTCCACAACGTTGAGGGTTTCACGGAGATCAAAGAGTGGTGAACTTATCTAGACTACACGAGCGCGTGAAGAAATGTCCAGGCCAAAGCCTCACTTGCATTAAAAAGCCTGGTCTCATGAATACTAAGCTCCACCTCCTAGGAGCGAACAACGTGTTACTTGTCAATCTGTTTGCAGGGTCGCGCGCGGGACGCGTGGCTTGATTCTTCATGAGCCAGATCAGTTCATTGAAGAGTTAAAGTTTTGGTGGGAACACTGTATGAATGAAGCTGTGGGTAATACCAAACGGTTTGACTTTCCAGCTCTATAGTTTGTGTTTAAAATATACAATATAAAAGTTTCTGAAATTTTGTGTTAAAACGATCAGTCACTTTTCATTTTTCGGTAGTTTAACCTATTCAACTAATTATGAGTCATTTTCTTTATGTATATACATACATATATATATATAGAGAGAGAGAAGACGAAGTTGAAGTAATGTCTTATTAAATAACAGAGTTTATCATTAGTATCTTGTTCAGAGATAAGTATATGAGTTACAGGTATACACAAGGCAATATATATGTATGTGTAGAATCAAGTAAACTGAATATTTTTTTAGAATTTTAACATTGTCAAACGTAGTTATAGAAATAAACGAGTATACTAGTCTTATGCAGAATTTAATACCTAAAGTATCAAGTAAGTAGTACATAAACTCAGGAAATTTACCATTTTCGTGAGACTACCTATTAAGTAAATTAATCGAGTTGACTTTTTTGAAACGTTCTAATCTTAAACTAGTCTTAGAGAGTGCTGGACAAATAGAGTTTCCTCTTCAGTTGATGTAAACTCTGTAATTTGGCGTAGTTTAAAGTTACTAGTTATGTTCTTTATATTGTATATTGTTGGAGATTATACACAAACTCAATGTAAGAGTTTCTCTGTAAAAGATAGGCTTTTACAAAAAAATATATATATTAACAAACATTGGGTTTGCAAAGCTACACGAGAGATACCTGCGCTAGCCGTCTCTAATTTAGCAGTGGAAGACTAGAGGGAGACAGCTAGTCATCACCACCCACCGCCAACTCTTGGGCTATTCTTTTACCAACGAATAGTGGGATTGACTGTCACATTATAACGTCCCCACGGCTGAAAGTGCGAGCATGTTTGGTAGGGATTTGAACCCAAGACTCTCAGATTGCGAGTCCAGCGCCTTAACCACCTGTCTATGCCAGGCCTGTTAACAAACGAGATCTGTTAGAATGCGTTTTGTAAGGAACGTTTTCTATGTGAAATATTTAAGTCGGATAATGACTCCTTTTTACTAAAAAAAACAAACAAACAAAAAAAAACGCACCGATAACACTTTGTAAAAGAGGGAGTCTAGCAGAATATGAATAATCTTTCAACAAGCTTTAATATATATATATATATCATCAAGGAGTATCTTTTCGTGTCTTATGAATGGAATTATGGTTAAAACTACCATTTTACGTTTGTTTAGTTTACGTTAACTTATCACAGTTCCAGGAATTTACAGACAAACTAGTCAAATTATCATTCTAGTAGTCATGGAAGGTTTTTCTGAACATCTAAACAGACAAATCAGAGAATGGCTAAGATATATATTAAGGTTTGAGCTTGTAACTATTGTGAAACGTTTGAATTAATGTTGCTGTTGGTTTTTGCGCAAAATTACTGTTACGTATTACAATTTCGAATGGTCTGAAACCGAGCTAAATGATAATTTAAATTTGGTATTTAAATTAATGCCGATATATCTCCAGTTTATGATATTTGTCAACAAGATTGATACACACGGTTTTCCTTTTTAATACAAATATGTTTTAATATACAAAC